ACGCAATCGCAGCGACCTCGACTCTGCTGAGGGTCCTCCCTTGGCCAACTTCCGCCAGCGAAGCGAGGTATAGCGCAACGCTAGGGCCAACGTCAGTCCGGGAAAAAGTGACCGATGCTCAGCCTCAGCGTTACCTCAGATTCCCTGACGTTCCGGTGAACGTCATCGCGATGCTATATATCCAGCCTGTCTGCGAGAAACTGAGTCTACTGAGTGAGCCCCAACGTTGATTAGCGAACTTACGCAAACTGCGCTTTTTCAGTCAAGAGTGATATAAGTGTATTGATTAAATACACTCACAACCAAGCATTGGTGTCTCGGGCTTCATCTTGCAGACCCAGAAGTATAGGCCGCCCATTGTAGGACTATATTATATGAGAAAATTTAGGGCGAGAACGGGACGTGAACCTACTAGGCACTGCAAATCTCGGCCAATGATAGTGCAATCAGCAGCATGAAGAGACTGCAGATCTTCGGATGCAACGTTGAGATCCTCCACATCATACAACGTCGCTCAGATTCGTGAGGGCTCACATTCCATCCCCAAAACAGTCCGAGTGGTCCTCCTGAGAAAAGTCCCGTCTGAAAGGCGCTACTCATGCCCGTAAGAATGCCGATGGCACAGAACGATATACCGAGCACGCCGAAGAGAGACATATCTCTCCGGAATTCGCTCTTGTAACCGAGCTCGCGCAGTCGCTGGTCAGACCTTGACACGGATGCATCTTGTAATTCTTGAGGAACGCTGGAATGCCTACCGACACTCTCCACGTCCGCGAGAGCGTTCTTCTCCATGACGGTCGCGTAATATGGCAAGGGCAGATCTCGAATGGCAAACTTCATGCCCGCATTATATAGCAGTTCGACTAGACTAGGATCCGTGATATCTCGCAGCAGCAGAGAGGCACATGACGCATCGGCGGGGCGCAGATGGGTATCAGAATGCCGTCGTGGGTTGAACTCTTGATACAGTAGATAAGCGAAACCGCTTGGCGAGCGTACGAGGTTCTTCCACCAGAAACATACTCGCGAGTGCCAGGGAAGTACTTAGGGACGTGAGGGAAGCAGAGAAACAAAGCTCGAGTAGACGCGAAGATGGTCAACGTTGTGGTACACGATCAAGTCGCAGCCGGAGCGCCCGTCGACGTCGCTCTCTTCAGTACGCTCATCATCCGGATTCCGCTGTTGCAGCCCATTTCAACGTCGCGCCGCCTCTGTGAGATCTGTGGAGGAGAAGCCAGGAAATTAGCTGCCGTGTATCCAGGATAGCTTGAAGCAGTCGAAGGCTTTTGCTATAGACCGTAGGGATTGGAGAAAGTCCTCTCGAGGACGAGAATGATGGACAATGACTACAAGGCATCCAAGGAGGCCTTTGTATCTGGCATGACGGGATCGAGCGTGGGCCATATTAACATGGTCTCACTGTCGTCGTTGGTGAGCAGGCTGCCTATGCTTTGAGTTGACGCATGCTGAAGTTAGCGGAGGATGTCAGATATCCATAGCCCTCTATTCCGCGCTCAAGACGCGATTGCCACCCAACAAACATCTTCATTTCCTTGCTGAAGTGCTCTTGCTCGTTGGACCGCTTCTCGCGTCTGTGACCATCTTCGCGAACACTCCGGGGAAGCTCAGTCTCATCTTGTTGGTTCCGACACTTCTGTTGCTACTCCTGCCCAGACGAGAGGCTGGCCCATACCTTCCTTCATCCCTCACGCACAGTCGCGCGTCCTCGAGGGACTCGAATGCGTTCAAAGATGGCAACACCTCGGGCATCATCAGTATACCCCCGCTTCCTGCCTTGACTACGTATCGCTCGCATATGCTACTGTTGACATTCTTGTGTATCCTTGCTGTTGATTTCCCCGTGTTCCCTCGTTCACTAGCGAAGTGCGAGACGTTTGGGGCCTCCATGGTAGGTGATCTGATTTTCCTGCATGCGCGTATACTGACAATTTGCAGATGGACCTCGGCGTTGGCGCCTTCGTGTTCTCGCAAGGCATTGTCTCCGCGATACCCCTCGTCAAGAATCCCCAGTACCTTACCGAGCCTCTCCTTCCAAAAGTGACGGTCGTACTTCGGAAATGCTCACCGTTGTTGTTGCTGGGCTTGCTCAGGACCATCTCAGTGAAAGGCACCGAGTATCCAGTACGTCAATCGCCAGCGGCAGCATCTACTGCAATGTCACCGTCGCTCAGGAACATGTTACAGAATATGGCGTACACTGGAACTTCTTCATCACACTGGCGTTGATACCCATTATACAAGTGCTGTTGCATCCGGCCATGGTCCACCTTCCCATCTCGCTACTAGGGGTACTCGTCGCTATATGTACGCGTCCCTTTTCAACCACCCGCTACTCAGATGCTGACGTGACCTAAAGCTCATCAGCTCGCGTTATCAGTGGGAGGATTGCAGCATTTTGTGCTCGAAGCTCCTCGCGTAGGCGTTATATCCGCGAACAAGGAAGGAATCGTCTCTGTCACGGGTGAGCTGTCTCTACTTGAATCCAACTTGGCTAGTTTAACCTGCGTCGTAGGATACCTTGCGGTACATCTCCTTGGCCTATCAACGGGCACGCTGGTCTTGGCTCCGACACCCTCCTACTTCAAGCGCCGTCGACAACAGCTGGCGCGACCGCCCACCGCACCTCCTCGTCCTCGTACCCCGAGCAGCGACTCTGATTCTGACGATGATGTACCTGATGCACCAGTCCCTTCGCCCGCGCCCGTGCTCGAGCAGCGACGAGAGAACGACAAGACCGCGACCGAACTCTGCTCTTACGCCGTGCTCTGGTGGGTCTTCTTAGGGGCGCTGAAACTCTTCGGGATTGGTGGGGGTATCTCGCGCCGAATGGTGAACATACAGTACATCATCTGGGTCGCGGCTTACAACACGACCTTCCTCCTGGGCTACCTCGTGCTGGACCTATTCTTCTTTCCGTCGCCGTTGTCCAAGTCAATCTACTCGCCGACATCAAAACTCAAGGTCCATCCGGACCCGGACATGCTCAAGGCAACACGGCATATGCGCGGACGAGAGCTCAGCGCGGGCGGTAGTGCGCCTGCACTCTTGGAAGCGATCAACAAGAATGGGCTGGTGTTGTTCCTCCTGGTACGTAGTCCCCTCGACTATGTCGTTGATCACACGCTTAACATGAAGTCGTAGGCAAATGTCATGACCGGCCTCATCAACCTGTCCATGCAGACGATGTACATGTCGGACTGGTCAGCGATGCTCGTGCTCTCGTTGTATGCCTTTGCCATCTCGGCCGTCGCTTGGACGTGCAGGCATCGGCGGCTGTGGAAATTCTGACTGTAACCCGATACAATTTGATTACAATCTGATGAATGGTTCATGACACCACTATGCAGTCGGCACCCTTTGAGGTACACCTTTGAGCTGTTCAAGTAGTTTATGCGCTACACAATTGTTGTTGTGCCAATGTCCGATAAGCTCAAGACAATAGAGGCGGCTAACAATCTTCCTTGACGCCCGTCCTAAGCGAGTAAATGTGGTTGAAGCACAGCTTCATACAAATACCAGAACGTCGCGCAATAGCGAACGAAAGAACTTGTCTATATACCACCACCATCCACGCTGGGTGTAGTTGACAGCCATAAGCAGCCCAAGTTCAACCTGTATGCAGTCACGCCCATGAAAGGTCAGCAATTGAGTGTCAGTGAACTGGGCAACAGCTGAAAGCTGCTCTTCGATAGGCGACTGCCCGTAGTAACATAAGATACTGTAGGCTTTGGACCGGTCATACCTGAGGTCATTCTATTCCTTCCCGCATACGTAGTCCACGCGCGTGGATCTCCACAAGGCTAATCGCCATGGCCGAGCCACGTAGGCTCAGGAAGGCTCCTCCAGCACCTGCTTCGGCGTACCGCGGGTCCAATGAAGGGCAGCGACAAATCCCAACAGAAAGCAGGACAATGTCTTTTGCACGTTCATTGATGGCAGGACCAGCACATCCTAGTCCACGTACTATGAAGCCAATCGAAGAGCCAATCGCACGGAGACATGGCGAATCCAACAGAGTCTGGACATACAGTCCAACCGTGCTGTCTCCCGCGGACAGGAATGTCAGTCAGCCCTCCCGCACGAGCAACGGACGCGAAATCCCGGTTATGGATTCTACTGCGACACGCGCACACACGGCCGAAGGGCCACATACCGGGCCTGTCTATTACATTTCACTCCTACAACAATACTTCGTCGCTCCCGCCAACGCCATCACCCGTTCCGTCACGGCCATGGAGCACCACTGGGCCATGCGCGCGACTCGAGCAGAGACGATGTACGCTGCACAGAACGACCGACAACGGGAGTTGTCCACTCTGTCGGCATCCATGGAGGAGAAACGAGCGGTATGTGGATATCCTCTTACAGAATTGGCGAGCTCTGACATGGTCTATCTTACTGTGTAGCGCGACATGGCAGAATTGAACGCCCGCTTCTCGGACCAGTTCGCGAGGCACCAGCAGATGACGGTACGCCTTCACGAGACGTCTTCGCGAAACGGAGCTCCGCGGGCTTGAACGCCGGCGCTGACCTCCCTACCAACAGTGGATAATCCTAGGGACCATGATCTCAGTCGTAGCGACGCTCATCTACCTGTTAGTCAGAACTTGCTCTCCAGCGCAATCGTCATCCCGTTGGCTACCACCCCTTCACTTCACCATTCCAATCTTATCTCCATTCGCATCCGTCGTAAGTTACATTTCGGGCCAGGAGCATCTTGCTGCAATAGTACTGAGCTGAGGCTGACTTACAGGTGGAACACGAGACCTCCGCTGTCAACGTTCCCCTTGTAGCGTTATTGCTACTCGGCGTGGGATCTTTCGTCTTCCTTTGGTTCCGTTGTGGCCAGCGACGATGACTTTCGATAGTCTTTCAGTGCACATTCTCCGAATTGTTGTAGTATCTCTGAGTGCATCGCAACGTTTATGGGCTCGAGTGATACCAGTCGTCATGGTATATAGAACCGCTTTCCCAACGGCCGGCTGGCCTAATGGTTAAGGCGTCAGTTTCCGGTTTACCGGAATCAGCTGAAGATTCTGGGTTCGACTCCCAGGTTGGTCGTCCACCTGCCCGTTTAGCTCAGTGGTAGAGCGCGCCACTCGTATAACTCGGTTCCGACCGGGTTACGGGGAATGGTGAGGTCGGTTGTTCAATCCAGCCAATGGGCACGCATCTGGCGCTATAGTGTAGTGGTTATCACTTGGGATTCTGAAGAGTGTTCCCAAAACCCAAGTTCGAGCCCTGGTAGCGCCTGAGCTTTTTGCTCCGCATGACTGAGTTGGTGAGGCACCGAGTTACGTTGTGGCGCTTGGACGTGCGATAAATAGCCGGGCGTTGCGGGGGGAAGCGAACACGGGGCGGCCTCGGGCGGTGTGGCGGTGCTAGGTGCGTCCGAATAAGTACAGGCGCCGTACCAGAAAGGCAAGGAGACGTCGGGGGATTCGCCTTTCCTGGTCGATATTTGATGTGCATTGAAGAAGGAAGAGCTCTTTCCTGCTCAACTGCCATGCCCCGGCCGCACCGCTGCCCCCAAAGCCAACGGCCTCCTCACCGTTGACCACGACGACGCCCACGACGAGCTCACCACACAACACGTCCCCTACCCCTCTCTTGCCGTTCTCATCCACAGCCCCTGGCCCCCCGTCCCATGCCGCTCTCAGGCCGCAGCCGCCCCGAGGGCGACAAGGAGCGCACCGCGAGGTCCCAGGAGCAGGAGCTCAAACGCGCAAGGGGTGCGATATCTTGCGCAGAATGCCGCCGCCTCAAGCTCAAATGCGACAAGACGGTCCCGTGCTCCTCCTGCAAACGCAGGGGGTGCGCGTCCATATGTCCGAACGGAAGCCTCACGACCGGCCAGGGTACCAGGTATGCGCCTCCTCTTTGCACACATCTTTGTTGTGAGATGCTGTTCTATGATGGGGATCAGTTTGGTTCGAATGCGGGAGAACGCCCTGCAGCGTCGACGCGCTCACGCCGGGGATGAGTTCGCGCTGAACACTCGCGTCGTTTTGTTCAGATAAGCATTCTCATCTACTTTCCAGAGTGGACTGAACCCCGATGTGTGTTTGTTGTCACCTTGTTGTGTGTTATGGGCGACGGAGGCACATGAGTATGAACAACGTGATAACCATTTGCGTGATACGTAGATTCATCTTGGCGGACACGGACCGTCTCCATCGTAAGATCGCCGAGATGAGCGACCGGATCCGGCAGCTCGAGGATGGGCTCGCGATACTGCAGTCCAGCGTCACCCGCGAGCTCCATCCGCTCTTGAGCCCAGATTTGCTCAAGATCAAGTCTGGACTCGAGCTGCACTCGGCCTCTTCCCAGGCGGGCGGCGTGGGTGGGATCGGAGGCGGCGGCACCGAGGCGGTGGTACCCGAGGAGGAGGAAGAAGAGGATGGGCACTATGTAGAAGCGTTTGGGACGCTGGCTGTGCGTGATGATGGTGCGGCGACTTTCTACGGTCGCTCGGCAGGTACAGAGGTATGTCCGTATTCCGATCATCTTGTGGCGCTGCGCTTAATATGCCATTGCATCGCAGAGTCTCCTGCTGGTAGGTCCAGTCTGATCGTTGTGCGAGCCCGATGATTCACCCGAGCTTTCTGCAGGAGGAGAAACCACACCTTGTTCTATCGACCCTGGCGCATTCGTCTAATGCGCACCCGGACTTGCCTCCGGAACTCAACAGGCTGGCTGAGACGTTTCCTTCTGGGCCAGGCACCATCCCCGTCTACGACCTCCAGGAGCTCATACAAAACTACCTGCCACCCTGGCAACGTGCTGCTCAGCTCCGCGACTTGTATCTCGAACAGGCGCCGTGGTTCTTTGGCGCAGTCACCGAACGACAGCTCAATGAGGAAGTCCTCCCGCTTTTCTATGAAGAGGCGGCTGACGAAGTGCGCGCGAGAATACACATGGGAGCCACTGCGGGCTCCTCAGGCCCCGGTAAACTCGGAAACTCGGCGGAGGCGTTTCATCTTCCGACAGCGAACACTCAACCTACAGCACACGACCTCGCGCTCATCTTTGTCGTATTTTGTTTTGGGGCACTCACTGACCCCACTTTGCCACCCGCGCCGCACAACGTCGAAGCGACAAGGTACTACCAGCTAACCAGGGCTTCGCTCAGTCTTGAGCCTGTCCTCGACAGGTCGCCTAGTATGACGACTGTGCAGACGCTCAGTCTGATGGGCATCTACCAGGTTCGTACCCTCAATCTATATGTTTTGCGCTACTAATTGGATCGGTCACTAGGGGCTAGTGGCAGATGAGCACAGTATAGAGACTACTTGGGCACTCATGGGTTTGAGCTCCAAACTTGCACAGAGCGTGAGTACCGCGTTGTTCCCACGGGGCTTGTCATACTGAACGACGGGTTGCGTAGATTGGCCTACGTGGGTATCTGCACCGGGCTTCATTTTCGCTTGTTGACGGATGTCCTCCCAGACCGTGACAGCGCCCGCTGGAAGCTTTCCGCGTCGGAGGTGCAAAAACGGCGAGCGCTCTTTTGGGAGCTCTTCATCACCGATTGCTGGCAGGTACGTCTTCGGAGGCAGCGTATGCAATCGCACATTATTGACACAAATGACAGGCCCTTGCGACTGGGCGGCTGCCAACATTTTCCCTGCAATTCGTCGACGCCGAGCTTCCCAACGATCCCGACCAGACTTTGGCCGACGATGGTACCCCTCAGCCGAGCTGTAAGCCATCCGCGAAGCAGTCTGTGTGCATCATTGACAACTTGTTGCAGTCCCTGCATGGAAAGCACAATGGGGCAAGGAATGCGTCGCGAGCGTCGTGATGGGCACCCTGACGGCTCAGGCGCCCAAGTACTCGGTCATCCTCGACCTCGATCGACGCATCCGCGACACCCCTCTCCCCAAGTACGCTCAAGGTCCGCCACCGCAGAACGCAGGCTTGGCTCAAACGATGTCGCACTACATGCCCACGAACTACCTGCATCTCAGTACGTACTACGTGATTCGCATGAGGATCATTTCAGGGACTCATTCACGCCATTTGCGTAGCTCTGCTGTACGTCCACCGGTGCTTCTTCGCACAGGCGATCGTCGATTGCCCGACAGATCCAATGCGCAGCCAATACGCGCCCTCGTTCCTCGCCGGCTACCGCAGCGCGTGTGCCCTGCTCGGTTCGATCCGCGAGCAATTTACGCTGTTTCCGGTGCAAATTGCGCGCTTCTGGGTGCTGTGGACGCACGCGTTTTCGGCTTGTGTGAGTGTTTGCGCATCCTCCCGCGAATCTCGCGAGCACTGTCCGCAGCTAAGCATGAATATTTAGGTCATGATGGGATCGGTGGTCACGCGAGGCGGGACGTCGAAGACGGCGCAGGCAGCACTCAGCGAGCTGCGCCTGGCATGCGATCTTTTCGAGCGCGCTGCAAAGCATGGAGGGCGGGCGGGCAAATTCCTGGTATACCCTTCATATCTTCTGCATACATGCTGCCTTCACTAACGGTATATTGGCTACATGTGCGGACAGCCCGTCGTTCGTAAGCTGCACGAGAAAGCGCAGGCGGCGTACTTCAAGGGCTTCCAGCCTCTGCGACGCGACATCTTCACCCCGCAGACGGACGAAACCGAGCATTTTGACGAGCTCTCGATCTTCAGCGGACGCACTGCACGCACGGTCGTGACGAAGTCCAACAGACCGCAGCGCATCTCTCCAAGCCTCTCGTCTGCGAGCACACCGCCAGATGCCTCTGCACAGGGCTCGCAGGCGGGATCGTCTGGGTCCGACGCGAGAGGATCACAGTCGCCTGCAGCAGAGGCTTTCCCGGCGTTGGAGTCATCGTACCGCGCGGTGATTCACCCAGGCCTCGTAGACGAACTGAAGACGTTCGAAGGACAACTCGAGGCGCAAATCAACCAGACGCATGCGTACTTCACGCATCCCTCCGGCCAATACGAGCAGCCTGCGCATAGCGGCCAACCTATGCAATCTACGCCGACGTACAGCGACGCATCGCCTCAGTCCATACCGTCCCCTGAGCAGCACTATATCCAAAGCCAGAGTACCCAGAATCATCCTTATCACCAGCACCATCACGTATCGCCTCCGGCGACTCACATGCAGCAGCAATACCCGCCGCAGTACAACCAGCAACAGGATAGTCACCATCAACAACACCAACAACCCTACTACCAGCATCAGCAACAAGACCATCGCCAGCAAGAACAATACCCTACTTACCAGCTCGACCCACAGTCGCGACGGAATTCTTACCATGCTTCGATGCGTAACGTCCCCGACCTAGCGTCTCAACACCACACTCCGACAACGCCAATAGAGCCACACCACATACCGATGTATGGTGGCTTCTCGCGTGCGCCGTCAAGCCACCAGCATGACACCTTTGTTCAGCCGGAGCCCACGCAACCTCATGTTGATCAGGTCCCCTATCCGCCACACCCCATCTCCGTGCAACGCTCGGAGCTATGGAGTGTCAACGTTCCACCCGCTGAGAGCCACGCCGAGCCTCAGCAAGCACACCAATACACCTCTACACCCGTCTATGCCACACAGCCCTCCCACCTGAACGAGCATACCTTTCCGCAGACCTCGTATAATCACCACTCTCATGTCTCGCAGCCACAGTCCTCGCTCGCGCATGCCCAGGCGTACGCGCACGTCCACCCGCAGCAGCAGCAGCAGCAAGCGCAGTCTGCGCAGGCTCAGCAGTTCGCGTATGCACAGGGCGTGCAACAGATGATCCCCCCGCCGCCTCCGCCGCTCATACACGTGCACACAGGCGGGTACAGCCTGCAGGAGACGTGGACGTCGTTCTTCCAGCAGGAGCTCCCTGGCCCTCCTCCAAAAGCTGCCGCCCCGATGCAGAGCATGTTGGCGAAGTGAAGGTCTTCCCTCGTGCCTCAATCACGATGATCTCGTAGATGCGTCCTGTGCCTCGTTGTCCATGCTCTCGCCCCATCGTTCTCGGGGGGTCTTGTACTAGTAGTCGTTACTCGTGTCTCCAACATCTCGCTATCGTTGTTTGTCGTGCTCGTCGTGCTTTCGTGTCTCCAGACTGGTCCCTGGCTATTCGCATATACTAGACTCTCCCGTTATGTGTCATCTCCCCATCCGTATTATCCGTCTTTTGCCTATGTTAGCATCGTAAATCCATTGTGTACCCTGGAATAAGAT